TGAAGAGTTGTTAGTGGGTACAGCCCTAACATCAAAGTGGTTCTTCCTCCCTGTTACAATTTCCTGCCCTGTTAAACTGCCAAGTGCAGCTAACGGCCCCCCTGAAGTGCTTCACCACCAGGCCCGTAAAGATGCTGAACGTGGCCTCGGGGCGATGAGCCTGGTGAAGGCAGGGCCTCTCCAGTCCAGCGCTGGGTTTTCCACACTGATCAGGCTGACGATTTTGTGTGTCACGACTTTCTAGCTGGTTAAACAGGTAAGAATACACAGTGATAAATGTAGGACTATGCAAACTTTTTTAAACAAATTATTTTTTTATTATTCCACAGCATAAATCTGTGTTGAAATAGGAGAAGGTGCCCACAGGCTACGCACGCAAAGGAACTGGGGCACCCAGTCCCAGCACTTGGGCTTCCCTGCGATGCCAGACCCTCCGCCTTTCTGGTGGCTTCTGGGGGTCCTTGCCGGGCACCGCCGCCCGCATGGCTCCGACGCCAGCAAAGCGTCCTGGGCAGCTGGAAGGGGCTGCCTCCTCCTCCCAGGCACTGGCTCGATTCGTTCTGTTGCTGGGAGCCTAGCAGGACTCCATTTCCCCACAGCAGCTACTCTGCCTTACAGCAATTAATTAGTCCTTAAGCACTGCAGCACCAGGTCTGCCTGGCTCGTGTTCCCCCCGCTGCTTTCCACTTCGGCACTGAACGCTTGGTTTGACAAAGTTTTCAAGTGTCGGAGCAGGTGACCAAACCCTGACCCGGCAGTTCTGCCGCAGTCGCCTCCTGGCCCCAGATCTCCTGCTACCACGGAACTCACGGCTGGCTGGCGCTCGCTCTTCCCTGCTACAAGGCGGGGGAGGAAAAAGAAGGAAAGGCAAAGACCTGAGACCTGGACGAAGCGCCTCTATTCCAGGGAAGCGTCCACCAAGCCTGAGAGCTGAGCTAAACCCCAGGTGATCCAACTGCTTCAGGGCCACTCAGCCTTCCTGCTCAGGTGGTTCAGCCGGCCCTGGACCGGCAGGTGGGCTTCAAAGGGTCCCCTCTGAGGTGTCCTGCAACCCCCACCTTCCCATTTGTTCCTCTCCTTACCCTACCCGTTACCTAGCGGTGGGATGTCAGGCCATGAACTTTGCCAGATGACGAATCACCTAAATCGTGGGTGTTCTGACAGGAACGTAGCCCTGGGTAATCACTACTCGAAAAGCCTGACCCAGATTTACAAGTGACACACACCTCGTAGCGCTAACCTGAACCACCTGGGTGGAAACAGCCTTGGTCCAAAGCACAGATACAGCTTGCTTAGTGGTAAAAACTTTTTTTTTGTTGACAATACTGTAACTTCATAATTTACAGCTGAAACTGATCACCCAGTATTTGAAATAGGTCACAGCCAGTTACAGTGCTCACTCGGACTTCACAGCAAATAAAACTCGCAACTAAACATGCACAGATCAGCATATATACAGTGATAAAAAAATAACGATGTACATTTTCTTGTAAGAAGAAATTAAGTAAATTCTTTGTGCATTTCAGGATTGAAACATCTAACCTATATAAAATTACTTTAAAATATGAAGTAAATATTTAACCCAAAACTCAAGAAATCTTTTGTAATCTGCAATATAGCCTTCTCCTTTCAGTGTTTCTTTCTCTGACATGGAACAACTTAGGACTTTTATCCTCTAAGATATTTAACAGTAATGTGCAGATATAAAAAAATAGAAGTAGCAGATTGACATAGTGCTTTATTTAAGCTGTCTGTACGAAGGAAAATAATGTGCATCCCTATCATATACGTGTAAAAATACTAAGGATGTACAGTGTACAAAAACAGTTTCTTGTAGTTATTTCACATCCTTGTGGGTCATATACTTAAGGAAATAAACAGTTTAAGTATGACCAACAGTAATACGGTTTCTTGGGTTCATAGTCGTGTCTGCTTAATATCCTTAGCTGTATGACTAGATCTTGCATGGATCTAATGAAAGAACTAGCAAGGTCAAGAAATGTCACAAACTCTAAAGCTACAGGGAGGTAATTCAATTACCAATTTAGAGGTTTTTATTTAAATAAATACTTTACATTTCATGCTTGCCTGTAATGCACTACCAGGAGCAAGATAAGGAAATTCTACTGTAGACAGTACAAACAGTAGCAGCAAAGTGTGTACATTGAGGTGTAATATATAGACCCTGCAGTTAGTAAGGAGAGACCTTACTTTGTACTCTAGGAGAAGCACATGGCCCCTGCAAGAACAGTCAGCTTTGAGAAGCCGCAAGTAAAGATGGAGGGAAAAAAAATGAAGGTAACACAATACTGGAATAAATGTTCTTTAAGCAACAGGAATGTACTGGAAGATGGGTTAGTGTGGAAAGCGAAGCTGTGTGCAAAACTGCCAAAACCCAAACAGAAATGACCTATTTCCTCCGAGACGGCTGCAGGACGTCGGGCGTACGCTGCGCCGTGGAAGTCCGTACAAGCTGGAGTCCGAGTCTGCCACGCGCTGTGCTCCAAAGGGGAACCCGCCACCACCTCCTCTCCAGACCCAACCCCAACCCCCACCCGCCAACAGCACACGAAGGGCTCCGGAAGGCGCTCTCGGCACCGCTCGCCCATCCGTTCCTAACACCGGTAAGCGAGAGGAAATCCCCAGCCCCGGGCAGCGTGACGCGGCCACTGACTCTCCCCGCAGCGCAGACTGCGCCGGCGAGGTTTTGGAAGGCAGGCAGTACGATGCGCAGTGAAGGCTGGAAAGGTTTTCCAACGGTTCGCCGACAGACACTCACTGCCGGCCGCGCTCTGACTCGCTGCGCGGCGCTGATGCTATATGGAGATACACTAAAAGTATTCTTCATGTGAAAATTTTAAAAAGCTAGAAGTACAGGCTGTTAAGTCCGCGGTTGTTTCAGTCGCTCGCCGTGCCAGCGCTGACGCCTCTACACGAGCGGGGCGCAGCGGCCCTGCCCCGCGTTCGCCGTGCTCCTCTCTCTCCGCAGAGGGATGATCTCGACACGCGCTTAGTGTTACCAGGTGACAGGATGAGACCCTGCCTCGTTAGAACGTACAACACGATGCACCGCGGACTGATTATCCATCCATTGCTAGCGATAAAACATGCAACGAGAAAAATTGTCTAAACCAGCCCGCGTCTTTAGCTGCCTTGCTAAATGCCCAGCCACCCCCTGACCGTCCCAGCACACGCACTGCCAGCAGTGGGCTCCATGCTCGGGCACTCGGCTTCCCGCCCCGGGAGGCGAAGGCATCCGCGCAGGAACACCTCTCCTCCCAGACCCAGCCGCTCGCTCGCGCAACGCGACCAGCAGCGCCCGGCGACGTCACAGGCGCTCGCCGGGTCCGCACGCAGAGACCCTTCCAATGATAATCCCATGGAGTCGGGCTTTCCAGGCGGCGCTCCCGAGGGCGCGCGCACGCTGCCCCGGCACGGCGCCACGTCCCGACTCCTAGCACCAACGGGTTTATCGTGAAGATTATCATTGCTGAAGGTCGGAGCGAAGGTTTATGCACATGTTCCGTCAGACACAGATCTCCGGAAACGGAAAGACATTTTCCTATCAGTGGAGCGCTTCTCGCGGGGTTTTGAACTCGGTCAATCGGGTACCGCAGTTACGTCTAACACGCTGGGTTTTGGGACTCTTTTGCTTGAGGGCAAACCTTCCTTGAGAACAGCTGATCCCAGAAATTTACTCTTTTCATTATTAAAATAAAGTGCTTTTCTTGTAATCGCTGGGGTCTCGTTGTTCAAACGCAATTCCTTCACGGAGGACAGCAATGTTCTGCTGTGCTGCCCGGCGCTCACCTTACCTTTCCCCTCAGTGGAGCACAAGATGTAGCTTTTTGTCTGACCGGTTTTAACCCTTTGGCACAGGAAGCTGGAATTCCTCACCTCCACTGCCAAACGCTGCCAGACAGTTAACAGACAGCATTCCACTCACACAAATCGGATTCTAAGCAGTATGTACAATTTCAGAGCCTTGTTAAAATTTCCACATGGGAGAAAAGTGCATTATTTCCTTCAGCTTGTACAGTCCTTCCATATATTACAAAATTAACTGCTAGAAGCCTGTTCTATCTAAGATGTAGCAGCATTTGCAAACATGACACATACAATCCTTATCTCTAAAAATAAATACTACAGCAATATAACCAAAAAAAAAAACCAAAAAAACAAACCTCAGTTAAACACCTGGAGAAAAAGCGAATTCACAAACTCCGAATGAAACCAAGTAAGGCAAACACCTGTTCACCTTGGTGCACACATTTTGGTGAAAAGCAATACCATTATGCCTGTCTACATTCTTCAGCCATCAGAGGTGATGTATATCATGAAAGAAAAAGAAAAGCATGAGAAAGATGTTATCTGGTGCAAATTATAAGACCCCCTTAGACAACTCCAACTGCTGCTTTTACGCCTTCATTTCTTGCATGTATAATGTTCGATTCTCCATGATTGCACATGAACCTGGAAGTTCTAAATGGCAGGCTGGGTGAGCCCAGCCCTTCTGTTTGTTCTTAAAAAATAATATATATATATATTTATATATATCAACAGTTTAAGTCCTTCTCTCAAACGTTTGCCAAACAAATTCCAGCCAGATGTTAATGACAGAGACCTGCTTCAAGTAATGATATGCCTAACAAAAACCTGGCGCGTGTACATCACCACCCCTATGTCTCCTTGTTCTAACCAGCACAAACAGATGCAAGAAAACGCTATAGACTAGTCTTTTTAGACTAAGTACAATTTTGATTCATCTTCTGGAAGAAGATAAACTGGACCAACACATTTTTTTTGTTTAGCCTCCACTGTGAGGAAAAATAGATGACTACTTGTGCACAAAGTGTACAATGCTGAAGTCAAGTCATCTACCTTCAGAGAAACTGTCAGTAACTTCTTGACGTTGCTATTACACTGAGACTGTGGGCAGCAGCAACAGCAGGAGAGCGCAGTAGAGAAAAATCTCGTATTTCATGCAAAACCAAAACGGATTTTAGGTAGATTTGGGAAAGAAACTTGTTCAATTTGGAACGGTCTCTGAAAGTGCCCCTGCTATCTGAAATAGTATCTAGTACTGGTGGTGATGTTCAGGAATCATTTTCAGTGATAAACCTAAGATGACAGTGAAGCAGCAGAACAAAAATGTTATTCTCGTCCACTTGCAGAGTAGGAAAACTGGGGGAAATGCGGCCGCCTCTCATTGTCCATGCAGTCCATACCGTCCTCGTCATCTGTATTAAGGGAGAAGTTCAAAACGTCACTATATTTGCAACAAAATTTTGTTCTTCATCTAATATGCAGTACACCTTTCAGGGTTCAACGCTGAAGTGAAAGGCTCAAGGTAAGACTTCATTCATGGAAGCTTACGCTCACACAGCAGAACCAAGCTCACTGGAAGGGCAGCCTTTCAGGCAGCCACCGGTTATTTCGGGGAGGGCTGGTTGGTGCGTTTGATTATGACTGTCACCTGAGACCTTCAGTCACTGCTACCCTTCCGGGCTCACCAAAACACGCCAGCACGTCCAGCTCCTGGTGGCACGGAAGCCGACTGCCGACTGAAGCAGCCAGTTCTCATTGTTTCTTACGCTGAGTTCAGGAAATGATAATCTTATTGTGGATATATTTATGTACTCCTCCATTTCAAAGGGAGTTCAAAGGAAAAACAGCTACAAAATGAACAATTCATACAGGTTCTATGCGTTTCAATTCTTACATGTTATTTTTTGGTAAACTATTTATTTTTACTGTATTTGTTGGGATCAGCGGAAACACAGACTAAGCCAAATTCATAAATATTTTTGTTTACATAATTCCTACAGTGGCAATGGAAACCAGGCACCAGATGTTGCCTGACTCTCAGAATTTGGATCTACATTCTCACCTGGATTTTTTAACAGTGCTTATCCTTAAAGACCCCTATTGAAACTGTTATTCTAATGACGTATTTACCCGCAACCTTTCAGAATTATGTATCTTTTGCATCTTCATGTACTCTACGTAGAAAAACTAGAGTTAATGCAGGTTTGAGCAACTGCTATGGTCAGGCTGCTTGACTTCAACCGTGCCTCTCAGTTCTGAAACTTCAAATACAGTCTCCCATTTACACTGTGAATTTAAACCAGGTTAATGTACAGAGCCTGTTTGTTTTGCTATCAGTTTGATTACTGTAGATATAAGATACAGGTTCAATATTCATTTAGCATGATTTGTAAAATTTTGATAGTTAAACAAATAACTGGCCAAAATGTTACAAAAATTATTTCTGCAACTGCACAAGATCTTCAGTTCAGCAGTGACTTTCTGATACCCTCCATCCCTAAAGCACATTTTATCCCCCTTTTGCACAATCACATAAGGCAGAGGTGACACCATACTGTAGATAATACAATTACTTGTAGATTTTAAAAGAAAAATAATTAAAAAGCATTTCCTGTTGCAGCTC